ATTACCTATAAGTACGTAATTAAAAAATGTTTTGTATTTAAGTAGTTTTGGCACGAAAATGTGTTAGCCAGAAGATGTTGAAACATGAAAGATGATCAGCGTCATCGAATAGATATATAATTATTATTAAATAATTTATTCAGGTGGTGAAACATTTTTAAGGAGTATTTGATAGGCAATATTTGAATTTGGTGATAACTCATATTTTTGTTGCTCGCTTGCGTGAGTTGAGAAATGAACACAATTTACAATTTAGAATATATTAAATTATGTAGAAAACCATCTTTAGTATGAGCAATGGATTACCCGGGGGGCTAAGGTAGCTTCAGTCTCCCCCCCATTCCACAATTCGACCGTGTATTATGCCTATTACGGTATAAATCGTATGTAAAAAAGGCTAAGTATAAACCATGATATCTCTGAAAACGGTTCACGGTCACAGGATATAGCGATAAACTAATAACTATTCCTAGTATAAGGTAATAAATATTAAATTCTGATGTTTTTTGTTAATCCCCCCACCCATTGAAAAATCCTGGGTATTCCACTGAGCGTGGTGTTTTCATTTCCACCACAGTCACAATACCCGTATCATCACTGTTATACCTACTGCAGCAAGTTGTGCAGCGCCATATTTGCAATATGTTTGTATTAAGCAGAAGTCAAAATATTATAAAATTATATTTTCATTAAAAGCCAATACCATAAATCACAATAGTCATCGTCATCTGCTCACGTCTATATTATACTTGTTGCAGTGGTGCCCCTATATTTTCAACTAAGCTACGACTGGTACGAGTAAAGCATAGATATCTATATTATACTATTTTACTATATTATAATATAGATATCCGTCTAGTTACTTTAGTATTCAGAGCTAAAACACAAATGGTGATCTCTAGCTGTATCCTATCTGCAGATTTCATTTTATTTTAATATACCTAAGCTATACAGCAGAGGTGTCCATTTTTTTGGAAAGACAGCCACATTAAGCGAGTAGAAGTTGTCGTGGGCCTCATACATTTTTATAATCACGCAGTTTATTTAAAATTACAATCGTAAATATATGTATTTTTATAATAATGCATTATATTCTATTAATTATATACAATAGAAATTCACTTAATCTAACATAGAACAACGAGTTTCAGAGTGATTCTTTTCTTTTTAGCCGATCGCCATAAAGGATAAACATTCAATATTAAATCGAGATTTTAGCCACCAGAATGAGAATAATCTATCTATGAATTACGATGTCGAAAAAATATCTTAAATCTTTAATATGATGAATTTGGATAGGAATTTTGAAAACCAATTGATTAGGTAAGGATTTTGCTTAGCTTTGTAGTGAAGATTATTTAATACATTTCCTTTAAAGAACAGGAAAGTTCATAAACACATCCGAAAATATAAAGTGTAATAAATAGTAATAGAATAATTAAATATTGTTAAAAAATTCAGTAATAATTAACTTCCATTATCAGACTTATAATAATAGTTATTAAAATACAAAATATTTTATGATAATTACAGTAATAAAGTTTTTATCTAGATAATGTTTTCCTAGTTAGTTAATCATTTTATGTCATCTGCGCTATTATTTACTTATTAAATATTTCACAAAATATCTCACATATTGAGATGTTGAGTGGAATGTGTTATCAAATGATATACGGATCATGTGTGAACATTTGCAAAAAAAGAGTTTTTTATTTTACCATTGTAAATAATCAATATGAAAGAGAAATAAATATGTATCACTGGTAGCTTGAAAAACAGTATTATCTTGTTTTCTCAGAATTACCTTTTATGAACTTATGTCGTTTCTCAAATAGGTGGTTCATATAGAAATGCCTTTTAAGTGTAATACAAATACAAATCGTTGATTATTTTTAAAATAGTTTTGAATACTTTCCTAGTTTTTTATTAAATGTCATACAAATTGCCTATACCAAACCCCTTGTACATGTATAATGTGGTACTTATTTTAGTTAAAATAATATTATACTACAATTATTAACTCGCTTGAAGATTGCATACACCTATTACATAGAACATAACTATAGACCAGTGGTTTTCAAACTTGTATTAAACATAATGGCACACCGTACCTACACTTCAAACAATTTTCATGGCGCACTGACCTTTTTTTTAGATGAACAATTCAATGCAATCGGTAATTTATGGAAAAACCGCGGCATCCAGTTTGAAAATCACTGCTATAGACTATAGTGTCTCTCTTGAAATTGAGAAAGTACCTACTCCTAGTCAGTCTAACACTCTAACTTACTGCTGGTCACTGCAATTAATATATTAATATATTCAGTGCTCATATTCCCACAATTTTTATGGGGGCACACTAAGGTTTCGAATACCATTTTTTTCTTCTAAATAAAATAATAACATATCAATTACTTTAACAAAAAATTCTTCTAAGATGGAGGAGATTCTAAATCAAAGATATTGCGATATCGAAAGTTTTTCTAAATTGTGACTATAGCAACTTTTCTGGTGGAAAAACTAGTAAATCTATATAGTTGGTACATTCGAATTTCAAGAGGTATTGCATATTGCATACATAATATTTTTCAAGCATCACTGATAATTTAATAATAATATTAAATCAACCTATCGTCGGTATCTACTGAATTAATTATAAGTAATAACAATATAAAATATCCTAGAGTCCTAGACTAACATATCGTTTCCACTCAGAATTATTTATTCACAAACAATGATATTATATCAATAAATCATTAAATTCAAATTTAATATCAATATACCATCCATTACAGTGACCATGTAGATACCTAATGTACAGCATAGCGAGTAGCGACATCCACTAACTCGAATTTTGTAATTTTTTTATAAAAATCGATAAAAAAATTTCATTTAATCAAAAAACATAAACATTTAATGCAATATTCCTTTTCTATTCGTATTTAAAAATATTAAAAATACAAAACCACGATTTTTTTATAATCTTTTGAAGTACTAAGTACAAGCTTTGACAAAATCAAGAAAATTTGTAAATTATTTTTTATTTAAAATACGTTACATTTACAGCTGATGCTTGGAAATTTAATACAATGTTTCTTATATCTAGATCATACTAAAACAAAAAATCTAAAAATACAAACTAACATAATTTCATTTTTAAGACATTTGAAGTTAGAATCTGGACGAAATTCTATATTCAAACTATGAATATCAATTCAGTTACCTATTTGTTGATTATTGAATACTATTTTTCATGGGTATTCAATACTTTTACCTGCATTATTATATTCTATGTAAGTAAAGACTTTTTCAAATAATTTAGATTAATTGCATGCTTTTTCTTGTTTATAGTTCATACCGTATTACTAAATTCTAATAGTAAAATAAATTACTAAAATAATTGATAGCAATATAATATATTTAGTATAATAATAGGCTGATCGACCGTCTCCGCTCAGAATGGTTTTTATTGCGCCAAAAATGATTTATCATTGAATTTAAAGTTTGAAATATCTGTAATGGATGATCCACTTGACACCTACTGTAGGACTGTAGGTGCAGTAGAACGGTTACCTACTTTTAATTTCGTATACCTAAATCGAAAATTATTCGGAGTCTCGGAGCATTTAGATCTATAAAAATTAAATTTCGGATAAGTAGACAGTCTATAAGTTTTAAGTAGGTCTTACAAGTTTAGATGAGTGGAGAAGAGTACCAGCATTTTGTGGGATACTCCTATAATAGTTAACTACCACTCTCTTTCGATCATAACTACTTTAACTACTTAGTAGGTACTATAAGACATTTTTTACTTCATAATAAAGAATTAAAAATGTATGTTGTCTTTAAAAAAAAAAAAATAAAATATATATATTTTTTTAAATAGTTCACCCAGTATATCCACTAAATGATGATGGACAATGGATACATATGGGATATGGCATGGACTGTATTATACAATGTACTCATACATACATGAGGTACCGCTGTTTTTATACAGCAGACAATAATTTTATTATAAGGAAAATACAAACTACATTCTTTTGAATTCTATTTTAGAAGGCACTACTCACCGCCACCATTGTATTTTATGGGGTTATGTGAATCACTTTGAATTTAGTGTAAGCTAGTTAAATAATTTTACAGATCATACACTTAAAAATATATTTAATTTTTTATTGTTTTCGACTACATATTATATATTTATATGAAATGCTGTAAAATGTAAGCATTTGTTACATTTAATATTTTCTGACAAATAATACATCTTACTATCTTAATAATATTAATAACAACATTTGAATCACCTAACAATAAACATTTATTTCTTAAGTACTACATGGTTGCATAATTTGGTTCTTTCAATATTAACTATTACATCAGTTAATCAATTAATAATCTTAAATTTTATTTAAAATCTATTAAAATATTTAATGGCCAATTTTAAATCTATATTAACAGATTACTTTGGTCAAAAACAAAATTAAATTAATAATAATAATTAAAGAAACCCAATATTATAAATTATCATAATATATCAATGAATTGATTGTTCAGTTGATCAATTATTTACAAAATTTAAAATTCAGTATATTATATTAATATTATACAACATCATATACATGGGTTTATTTAAGGAAGACTTGGATTTTAAATATTTTAATTTTGTTCTTCTTAAATTTAAAATTAGAGAAATATTTAGCTTTTTTTTTTATTTTATGAGTAGATCACATTAATTACATGATATTGTAATTTATATACATAAATAATAATTACACATATATTATATGGGGTCAATCAATGTTTATACTACAAAAAACAGCCGAATTTGCATTAGAATCTTAATCAGTAAGTACTTAATGACTGTATTCAGAATAATAATAAATATTATTATGTATTATTATCAAACTACATTAAACTGTTTAATGTATATGCATATTGTATATAAATTAATATAAAATATATATTAGTAAAGGAAAATAAAAAATAATTTTGCTAAAATTAGATAAAAGATCACATGCTATTATAATAAATCAATGATAACATTGAACTCTATATCTTGATTTACCACAATGATTATATAATATTTATTTGTTAAACAAAGAACAACAATTTGTGATACTTAAATTCACATATTTAAGGAATTGTAAAAAAAAAAAATAACCAGTATTCTAATGTTATAACTTAGGTGTGTTTGTACAATAAAGATTTCTATTAAGCAAAGTAACAAACATTGTAATTAAAAATAGAATATTCAGTACATTTCAGGCAAATGAGCTGGATATTTTAGCTAAGATTTTATCAATTACATAATATAATGTATGTGTACATAGCTTTAACATTTCTTTAAACATTCATTTTTTAATACATTAATTTATTACTTATAAATTAAAAAATATAAAACTGTTACAATAATAAAAAAAAAATTCAGAATAATGTTCTCGATGCATAATAACTATACACCCTAAGGAACGTTGTTAGGACCATCGCAACCTACTGTAAGAACATTCGATACTAATAGCCATAACATTTAAATATTAGTATCTCAATTAATATTAAATGGCAAATTCGATTTGTCAGCTGCCATTACAGCCAATATATATAAAATTCCAAAAATACAATTTAAATTAGCAGTTCGTTTAGGTACAGACTGAATATTTATACCATCTCTAAACTCTCTTTCTATCTTAAACGCATAGCTCATTGTAATTAATGGCAATAAAAACCATTTAGAATATCTCACTGATAAAACAACAAACATAATATATGGAGTAAATAAAAGAAATCCATAAAAAATGATTGAGGCTGTTCGGCCTATTAATATTGCCAATGTAACAATACCAGCTTTTCTATCACTTTCTAAATCTCTTGTGTTATTACTATGTAATATAGCTTCAGTGTTTAATGCTAATGGTATAGCATAATATATTGGTTCCAAATTAAGTTGACCGGTATGCGATAAATAAGCAAATAAAACTGACGCAGGCCCAAACAGTATCAAAAATATTAAGTCTCCAAGAGCAATGTACTTGAAACCAAATCCACCGGTGTATAGAAATGAGATGCTCAAACCCCATAAATAGGCAGCAGCTAGATGACCCATTTTAGCTTGAGATATGATGGCGAGCCAAAAGAATGTAACAAAACTCAAAAAGTATAATATAGCACCTAACCTTTCAACTTCATTCTCAGACAAAATTCTATCCACCAAGGTTCGGTCATCGCTATTACGGCCATCAATGCCACGGACATAATCATAGTAGGTATTCACCACATTTCCAGCTCCATGAACCAAGGCAACCGTTAGTAGAGTCAACAGCAACGTCAGAAGACTAAATTCTATGTTGGAATTTAATTTCTGCGCTATGGTGCAGCCTAATAAGGTTGGTATTATTGATGCACTCAGTGACCAGGGCCGAATGGCTAGTACGTGAGACGGAAGTTTAGTGCGCAGGGACATAAATATTGAGGGTAGATGAGCAGCCACATTAGGCAGTGAATCAGCAGATGCAGTTCCACTGTTTGGCATTGTCTCAACACCTAGTCACCTGTGAAATAAAAGAGAAATTAAAAAGGAAAAAAAACATTTATTAATTATTAAAAAATCATTTTACCATTCAAATCAAATACTCACGGAATTAAAATTTCTCGAAGCCGAGCCAACAAGACCGGCGAGACTACTTGTCTTCGTAAGTGAATTATGTAATTACAACTCTAGTACCATGATGAAACTAATTAACTGAATATGGATCGAATATTCTATTGAGTACTGACTAGTGTATAATGTATATCCATCGGTCATCATATCAATAATCATTATTATTCATTATCATATAGCAATGTTATCAACGATAGTAACGTCATGTGTTTGTTGTACGGTTAAAACAATAAACGTGGTTACAGAAAATGAACGTCGTTTGGATGGGTTGAATGAATACGATTATATAACTACAACCTATCTATACAGTTTCTACAAAAATTATTGATAAAATAATATTCAACCTTCGTTCCAAAATATCTGAACTCTGAAGATTCCGTTTATACATTTTTTTTAAATAAAATATAAATATTGTGGTGGTCCTGTCACCGTATCAAACCATAATATTATGATCACTTGATTTGATTAATACATTTAAAAAACTACGAGTGATAAGGAACTCACATATGATGTACTATGCGTCTGCGTAGTGTGTAGTAGGAGGCCGTATGTAGTTAGTAGCCAATAGGTACCTTTTTTCTGGATCCTAGATTTAAGCATTGATTATATATACTAGTATAGTAGTATATACTAGTATATATAATCAATGATTTAAGTAATTTACTCACTAGCATGGATTATTATAATTAAGATTACGGAATTATTATATTATTAAGTATTTATAATCAATGTTACTATACATTATTTACACTCAGTACCACTTACCAGTTACCAAGCCACTGAGGTGACAATTTGGATTACTTGATACTTATGACTTATGAGGCATAGTTTTAGTATGTAGGCACCTAATTTATATCTTTATTCTTTATTATGAGTACTAAGTATTTTGTAAGTACATACCAACCTAATAAGGTTGGGTATTGAGTACATACTATTACTGTTGTTGGTAGGTACATAATATTATGTACCTATTGTAATTTATTAGCTTGTGCACATGTTTGCATTGTTCATGCACCATAAATGTATACCTAGGTACATCAAAAAAATTTGGTCAATAAGTTTGGATATGCGTTCTGTACATTTTCAATACCTATGTGATGATTTAAGTTTGTCACAAATTTTACTCATTATCAACTCTCACTAATTCCATTATTATATTATTTTACTTTCGTGCTTAAATGATAAGGATAACTTTTAAGTTTTAATTATTAATACTAAAATCATTTATAATTTTGAATATTTTTATTTCAGTTTTTGATGCTTAAGATTGACTTATTAAAAATATAAAATAGTAGATCTCAAAAAAATTTCTTGACAAACTTGAATCTGTTCAGTTGGTATGAATAAGGTACCACACTATTGTGATTTGGGGTGATGGTGCCAGAAAGCATTACAGGTATTAGGTATTAGGTACCAGGTACCTACTTAAAAATATAAATCCCCTTAAAAATGTTACTAGTTCACATATAGACAACAATTTGAATTTTAGTCATGTCTCAAATTCTCAGTCGAGATTTTAGGTATAATACCTATAATCAAATTACATTTTTCAATTTCTATATATTGCTCATGAGTTATTAATAGTTAATACTTATTAGTTATTGCTTATTAGATATTAGTTATTATGGAACAAAACCATTTTACCGAGTAACCTATTTTATCGATTGTTTATATGGACTAATGCCCTCTTTCCTAAATTTTCCTACTTTTTTACGCTTTTGCCTTTTTTGCTCCTAAACACTCGGAATTTTAGTGTCGACTGCCTAGGTTATAACGTTATGAATATTTAAATTTTCCGATTTGTTTGCACGTGTAAAGTATTATAACGTTGCCTTTTTAGTATTCACCCAAAATACTGCAGTTTACCATAATCATGTGTTATAACATTTAAAGGCTATAATAATGGTACAAAAATATAGATGTATATAATATTATGTTAATAACATATTTTATATTGATTTTACGTAGTTTAGATTGCTAGTAATACATTTAACTGTGAGAGTGAACTGCAGACACGATACACTTAGACTATATCGGATGAATAAATAATCAATTTTTTCATTTATTTTAAAATTATTTATCATTAGGAAAATAATTATTTTTATTTGTTACTACTGATGTGTGGATAATCAATAACGGTTATGTTGGTAATTGCAGCCAATGGGTATTAACGAATATTTATTTTATAGGTAGGTACCTATCAAATGATTCAAATGTCACTTCAAAGTTGCCAAAATATATACGTATTGCCGTACAGGCAAAAGTAATTCATATACTCATAATGCTCAAATTAAAAAATAAATAATAAGTATATACAGATATACTCTCTTTTATTAGGAGAAAACGACTAGAATGGTTTGGATATGTATGGTAAGCAGATGGGCAGTTAATTAAAAATGTGCTAATCAACAGAATAAATAAAACTTGGTGGTGTTGAATTATGGCCCAATCCCTAAATCAAGTACGAGTTGAATTTGTGGCTCCGTCTATGATACAGATGTACAAACTGCTCCCTCATAATAATTATCACTTCAGCTATTAGCTTATTAGAATATTTGTGTGTTACACAGGAAGAAGCACATAGGAAGGTTGAATCAGTCGTCTCCCAAAAATATTTTTTTTTTATCTGAAACATCTTATGTGAAGGGCGAGACCGGCAATTGGCGCTGCCACGCTTACGTGGCCACATGCGCGAAACATTTAATGAGTATTCAAAACAAAGGAAAATTTTTCTTAAAAAAATCTGAATGTTTTGTTTTTGATTGTGCCATGTTTATTTCTTTTAATTAGAAGCGTTTTATTATACCTAACCATCCTTTCAATTTTCATGCATATTGTCTATATACAAAATAATTTCGATGTTTCACATCTGTCAGGTATCCTGCGCTGGCTCATTTTTTTATTATTTTTTTTTTTTGTCAATGGTGTGTTTGTCCTAATTTTTTTTTAATTTTTTTAAAATTGTACATAATTGGTTATGAAAAAACTTAAATTTTTTTGGTTTAACGAAATTAAACTGCTTTATTTCATTTTGTTTAAGCTTTGTGATTTATTGTCTATTAAATCCTTCTTTTTACACATTTTCTTCGTTTTGAATCCTGTTTTCTGCATTTTATGTAAGTCTCAGATTGAACTCCAAGTAACATATCAACCGAGTTGTAGGGTGTTAGGATGGCTATGGTGTAGAACGCTGAACGACATATTTCTTTTTGAGTAAATTGTTCACACTTCTGTATTAGGGTGGCGAGTGGGTCATAATTTTATTTTTTATTTACTTCATTACTTGCATAGGCATGTGCTATACGCATCACAAAATAAATAGTGAGTCAGTTTTAATAATATAAGATCCGTTTTAAGTATCATAACATTGATATGCGTACATACTATACCGTTATATTTTAGTATTTTTTGTTCAGTCGTTGTGAAGTGTGAACTGTTTTTTTTTTGATACTTTTTTAACCTTGATAATTTTTTTAACACATGCTCAGCAACCCTACATTCCTAATATGTATTAGTTTGGATTGTTTGGAATATATTATCTATTATCTGAATACATAAAAGTACCACTGTCCACTACCACACATTGTTGAATAATACAGAATAGGTAGCTGGATTATTTTTTGGGGAAGTAAAATAATAATAATTTTTTGTTAAAAATAATTACGTATTTTCGATACTTAAAGCTTATGTTTTATTAGTTGGGCCCGTAGACTTTATTCAAAGAGGTTCATATCCTTCGTTTGGAGTGTTCCACACTGCTTCTTATCTCTTTCATAAAATGCATTACCAACTATAAATTACCCATAAATAATTTTGTTATTATGAATTTAATATGATATTGAATAATATCACTAACATTTTATATAACCATATACATTTGAAATATAAAATATTTATTAAGTTCATGTAACAGTGCAAAATAGTATAAAGTAGTATTGAGTAATGACATGATGTGAAGCATAAAGTATACGTCGAATAAAACATTATCTTATTATATGTGATTTATTTTTACACAGGTCCATATAAAAACAATTATAATATATATAAACTATAAACACCACATAAATAAGTCATTTTAACTATGATATAAATATATCATACCTACATATTATAGGTACAATATTTTAATAAATATGGAGTTATTGATAACAATAAATAAAAATAATTATTAGATTATATAATAAGAGTACTATATATGTCTACTAAATATGATAAAATTCTAAATAATTTAATTGACTATCTTAACTGATATTCACCACAATATTTAACATATTATCACTAAGAAATATTATGTAATTTTGTAGTATTCGCCCTGAATGATAATTTATTATTTAAGTACCTACAGTAAGTTATTGCAAAAAGAAATATTGTTATTACCTAATTAAATTAATGAGTTAAATCCAGACTGTAAATTAAAAAAGTGCTTAAATGTAAATTAGATATTCATATAACTAAGAAAACAATTATTAATGTATATGTATAGATAAAAAATGTAATATTAAGTAATTCAAGTAGATGTCTAGTACTGGAATGTAGGTACCTAGACATTGAGTAGGTCACTGTTATGGATGTGTTAAATTTGAATTCAGTGATAAATACTTATATATGAAAATTTCCAGTTGGTTCTATGCGGAGTCGCACTGTCAGACTAAGTATAAGTTTAAGTATATTACTATATTTTAGTGATATTATAAATACAGTGGAACCAGGATAAGTCATAAGTCACTTAAATTTCGACTTATCAGTGTTCCACTGTATATCGTTATAGTTCATTTTAACCATTCATCCATAGTCTATACCTTTCTTTACGTTCATCTCTGTATTTTTAATTTCGAGTCCACCCTAATTAGGAAAAAACTCTATTTTTAGGGGCTTGAATGCATTTTTGAGAGCTCGATGAGGCTCTTCACGCCACTCAAATGTACTCATACTACCTTCATACTTAACTACTCAGTACACACTATTACCATTTTCGTTTTTATATGAATAAGTAGATAAAGCTTTGTAAAGTCATTCATCATAACTAAATAATCCCGTAAGATCATGTACATTTGTATAAACTTAAATAGGTAGGTAAATATGTATACTATTATAATAATATATTATGTAGATACCAGACTGTATGGACGCACAATATATAAACTACTAGACACTAGAGATATTTAAACCATATACAAACTAAATGATTTTAACATAAATGCAATCATATCATTACTAAAATTAATATTTTTATTTCTTTATACAATTATTGTTAAATCTACGAAGAAAAAATTATTGTATAGCTTACAACTGATATGTTATACTTATAACATATCATTTGTTATTTAGACAATAAATTAGGCGTTTTATTAATAGCTATCAATTATTAAAAACTAAAATTTTGAAAAATCATGGATGATATATATTTTATTATATTTTACTATACATATTATATTACCTATATAACTTATACACTTATAATTACATTTTAAATAAAATTGTATTAAAAATGTAATATCTCCAGAATAGTAATTAATTAAGTATCTACCATCTACATTAGGTAACATTTATTTTGTGGTTAAGAAAAAAAAATTAATATTTAATAATAAAAAAGTGAACACTCTGAATTCAACTATTATGGTTAATTGGTAAACAGTTTAAATCAGAACCAAACAAAAATTCATTTTTAATATGAAGAAAAAAATTAGAAGCCATGACAATTGATGACATATTGACATACATAAATATATTTTATAAGTAAACAAAGATGGCTTGGTGAGGTGTGGTAGTACGTTCTGAGCTTACGTACAGGCCGTCATTGCTAGCACTCGGATGGGGTGGTCATCTGGGTTTTAAGCAACACATCCTTGTCACACATATAAACGTGTCCCAACCAACAGAGTTGAAGCCATAATCCAAATTAAAAAAAAAAAAACTAACAAAGATTAATCATTGATTTTGAAGAATATACATGTAGTCCTTTTTTCATATTATGTGTCTATAATTTGTAAACTTATCAAGACTTTGAAAAATAAAATCGTCCCCATATTCACACAAAACAAGAAAAAGTGTTGTACATGACAATAATTTATTTGGCCGATATTAATTAAAAACATTTAATAGCGGAGTTCCGATTTGTCATAAATGGTGATAGTTAAAGTTAATACAACTATTTAAATAATTATCATTAAAATAATTAAATGTATAATTCAAATCATTCATTATTTTTTGTTAAAGGAGTCATTAAAAATAAAAAAACTTTTTTTTTTTATGTTTTAATTCGAACAACAAAACGCATGGACGAAAAATATACTTTAAGTCTTTAAAACAATATTCACACACTTATCAGTATAAAGCATACACTATACCCACTATATATTGTTGAATGTAAATAATATTATTTTATTTAGGTTACCAAATTTTTTAGAGATTAATAGGTACTATTGTAAATAAAAAGATATTCAATACCATTAAAATAATATTGCGTCAATACGAATAACCGTAGCAATATTAACATCGTTAAGACTAATGGATATCTTAATCAGATTCTCCGTGTTAACGGTTATGTAATTAATGTTTCCTGTGTAGTTTGTGTAGTAGGAATTATAATTTATTGATAATTAATGTTAATTATATATTCACATCTCAAGTATAAAATAATTGTTTTTTTATCAAAATGTTTATCAGAGTCGATTATAACTTATAAGTAGTTTTTGTGCAATATCGATTTTATTCATCTATAATTTATTATAGTATTATATAATAGCATTAATTAGTTCTAATATTTTAATAATATTCATAAATAGAACACCATTAATTGTATAAATACTATTTAGAAGGTATTTATGAAAATTGATGATAAAAGTCGTATAAAAAAATGTATTAGACCATGAGAAAGATACAGCACTGATTTTCATTTTCTTTAATCATTAAATTAAAAATAAAATTACACTTAGATTAGTTATACTTTGATAAGTTGCCAAAATGCCGTCAATCAATTTGTCTATATATATTTTTTAAAAGATGACTGTAACGATTAACATAGACCTGCTTAACGCCGTATATTGTCTGCACTACAGGAATGTATAATAAGTTGTTTGTTGGAACGCCTAAAAAAACTATATCTTCCAGGTCAGTCCGATCGATGTAGTTAAGTGATACGAATTTAAAAACAGATTTAAATTTAGCATTAATTGTATATGAATCGGTCAAAATACATTCAAAACATTTTTATATTTTTGGACATTAGTAACTGTGAAAAAAATTTAAAGGGAAACTTATTACGCTGACTGCTCTTGGTGAATTCAAATTTAGGATTCTTTTCACTTCAATACATCGATCAGACTGATAACAAAAACTATGAAATGTAGTCTTTTAGTTGGTTTTAATAAATCAGTTGGATGAATAGTGTCTTTTTCTTTTTGTATTTTGAGTTTTTTTTATACACCTGGTTGGTGAAGGTTTTTTGTTACACATTACAATAAAATGTATACATATAATTTTAATTACTTATTATAATTAAAATGTCAGTTTGAGCGTCACACGTATTTTGTACGGGTTCTTACGCACTTATATTACGCGTCTATAACATCTCCGTAATCAACCCTTTTTTTATTGAAAAAAATGCTTATATTTTTGATCTTTGATTGAAAAATTAAATTCACATTTAAAAGCTTTTGTGTTTATGTTAATAGAAAAGAAATATTTAGGTAACCTTAAAAAAAATATCGTTATTTAAAAATAAATATAATGCAATGTTCTTCTACCTATAGACCGCTGGTGCTCGAAAATATTAATTAATATAGAATTAATTTATTACTTTTTAAAATATTATTTTCATAATTTGTATATCTTACCATTCATGTTTGTACTACTTTTTTTAAATATATATTTGTCATTCAAACACATGTTCCAATATGTAACTAAATTTATTCACATTTTAGTGATTTTACAGTGTTTAAATAATATTATTCATTACGTTGGAATTTAAAAACGGAAATTTTTATAAAAACCACTTTCGATATTTAATTATTTTAACACATAAATTGAAAACAAATATTGGAAGTTGATATCTTAAAATATTGAATATTGTAATTTTGCAGTAAATTATATTAAAATGAACAAATATTCTTATTGTTTAGATTTTTAGTAATAATAATTAATAAACTATGCATCACACGACCGTAATGTGTTAATACAGATTTATCTTGTTTTGTGGATATTGGACGTTTTACTGATAGCTGATAAGTGATATTTCAGGTCATAGATGCGTCTGTGATTAAATTTGCATGATTTCTGAATGAAGCGAGTATATTATCTAGTATAGGTAGTAGGGTATTTTATCTCGTTGGCTCTTTTTGAAGTTTAAAGTTGGTATTGGTAAAGATTTGTAATTTTTATTTTTAAGGTCCAAAAAATAATGCTGAAAGTTAATCCAATCATACTAATTTAAAACAAAAATTATTTATGCTATCGTTTTTATACAATAATAATGTCATATTTTGAGATTTATTTTAATTTAATTTAAATAAAGTTATTACTATAAATTATATTATACAACAATGATTCATAATGTATTTAACCATTAACATTTTTATGAGTAACTTAACTAGTGTTATCTACTTATTCTATAATTTATAAACAACTTTTTAAATAGAGAAAATCTCAATGAGGTGTTTTTTTTTTTGTATTCAAATTTATATTATTATTTATTATATAATTATATGACAATCTTGTACCGTGGTGAGGTGTCTAAAACTTATTTTCTGCTATTTTTCATTAACTGTCAGAACATAATACAATCTACAATCTACAATTTTCCAAGCAAAAGTCAGTCGGTACATTTATATTGAATTTGTTTATGTCGTACAACACATAGTTAAACCGTTTTGTCAGTTTTGAAAACCAATGGATCTTTCATCGTTCAGCTTCAGAATTTCAGCTACAAGTCTATTGAAATGGCCAGACCAAAGCGAGTGTATATTATGACAAGTTTACTACCATACACCAGGACTGGGAATACATTAGATATCTATAAGGCCGTGCCCGGGCGTATAAGGATGTTTCTGGTTTGGTAAATGCACTACGTGCGCTAGTCGTTGGATTTGAATATATTAGTATATTATTAGAAAATTATAAAATACGTTTTCATGTGTAGTTATCGAGTCTCGGGCAAGATGTCAAGAAGCTTGGAGAGTCCACGCCCTTTTTGGTGACGAAAATACACACAGCGTCTATAATTTAAATATCCGTTCTGCTTTGCTCATTATAATATTTAATTGTTTTGAGTGACTGTGCGTTTAATATATGCAACCAACTGCCAGCCGCCAGAGGGAAATGTTTATCTACTGGAAAACCAATTGCAGTTTTGACTGCACTACTGTAGATGTATTTATAATAATCATTATTTTAAAGGCTATACATCAATTATATACTTGTGTCAAGCGTTTCATACAAAATAAATACAAATTTTGCTTTGTATTTTTTTTCGATAGGAAATAGATACTTATTTGTTACTAGAATTTTGTAACAATATGCCTAATTATTGTTACTTGTGTATACGCCAGGTTTCGAAAAGTTTAAACGATAATTGTGAACAAGTGGAATTCCAGCGGTTTTAACGCAGTAAATAGTTCTTACAAAATATGTTCTGTAAAATATGTTTCTGAGGAAAATTCATAATAATTAATATTAAAGAGTTAAACTTCAATAATAAAATTATCCCAACACCGTAAATAATAGATTATAAATATATAATTACATTGAATACGTCAATGATGTATGATGCAAAAACATAATAGTCACTTTATATTTACTTATAAAAATGTTAACAATTTATCAATAATATGTAAACACGTTTTATAAATATTTTAGTTGGCCGTTAAGTATTAAGTTGGTATTATTTTCAAAGACTAACATGTTTAAGGTCATTTATTTTTTAACAATTTTTCTATTTTCATTTCTGACCTTGTCAAGGACGATGCATAATTAGACTTGTAGTGCAGTTTGTTATTGATTTAAGATTTTCCTTAACAATACATATTACAGTACGATTTAATATAACCTCGTACAATATATTTTAATAATATTAATAGAAGGTAATTTTCTATACCTATACAAAATGTACAAAACAATATTATAATTTTATATTTTTACTTAATGAAAACAATGAATTGTCTACGAGGGACGTATATTTAGGAGTATAAAAGTTGACCTCCCCCTCCCCTCCAAAATGTTTTAAAACAATATTATTTTTCAAGATGCAGCTTTATGTAAAATATAATTTTGAATTTGTTTTAAATAATATTTTGTATAAACTATTCGACTATATTGACTATGTTGAGCATAACATAATAATCGTGTAGCGTTTATACTGCAGGTATATGGTCATTATACTTTGTATAAATTAATTCTGGTTTACATAAAATTTAATTTTTACGAATTCTGTACTAAATATTTGCAAAAAAATCCATTTGATGGGAAACGGAGGCAGAGGCCTAAGGAAATGTATGTATTTTATGCTTAGGAGAGATTTGGCAACAAAAAGTTGAACTGTTTGTGACGCAAACTTAAAAAAAATTAATCATGTACATATATAGTCCAACAAATTCGGGGAATTCTTCAACAATGTGTAGTTAAATGAGCTCCAGACTTTTTATTTGGTAAAAATTCTCAAATATTAACATACAACAATGATATTATATTATCATGTAGAAATATTATGATGTCATGCGGAAATATTTTATTTGATGTACGTTTAACCCTATGGAAATCAATAATCTAAATTAAATAAACAAGATAAAATGTGTTAACCACTTGAATATAACATGTAATCAGTAAAAAATGGGTCGTCGGAAGTCACAACAACAGTGAATATACGCGTCATTCAAATAAACATCAGTCGTTAAAATAATTCTTCCACCTACAAGAGACGATGAAAATAAACTATATAATAATATTTTAAGAGCCTTAGGCTGGCAAGAGCTGAGGTTTGTCTGAGAGGTGTGTCGAAGTCATTATAAATTAGGAGACGAGTATTTTTCTTTTTATTTATTATTTACGTAGGTACCTACTTTAATTTGATAATGTTTCGTTTGATTAATACAATCGATCAACATTCAGCGTGTCCGTAGGGGCACGACTTCTGTTTGTGAACTAAAAAGTTACATTTGAAATTTTTGTTTCAAATTTACAGCGCTTTTCATTTTTAATTGGCCTTTTTCAATACATTTTTACTGCTGTTTGTGCATTCTTGGATAATAACATGCCCATTTAATTATTATATCGAAGCAATTATGTACCTCTAGTGTATACTGTATAATATAGTAATTGTTATTATTTTCTCACATTTTTTCTCAAATGTTTGAAAACATGTAATTCTATATCAATAAATTATAACACGAAAATTCACATAAATATTCTTCAATTGTTTTCTTTTCGGATGTAACAAATAATCCATCATTAGTTTCCATAGTATGCTTAAAAGATGCCCAATATGTACTATTTTGTATTAAACCCAACAAAAAAAGTTAGGGATCATAGATGAGAAGTGATAACAATTAAAATTGGGTAAGACGACCGAAATTATATTAAAAAATAAATTTTCCAAAAAATTATAAATCCTCAGACTTAAAGCATATCGAGGGATATTCAAACTTATACTACAAGTATAATGACTACCGAGTGCAACGTGCTTTGTTTTTTGGACCTGTGCTGGTACACACGAATACTAGACCAGTGTTTGGAAATCACGCGTTTGTAAACGTGCGTTCGACGAGAACAATAATAGCAATATCATAATGATGTACTGATGTTAAAATATATATAAAAAAAATAAGGTAATATGAAATTAACAGTATTAAGGCGTCTCCTGTCTTCTAGTGAAACGACTTGTCACCAAACAGTTTCGTCAAACGTCAGACATAAACACTAAACCTAGTATAATCTGTCTAAATCTCGTGGTTATTAACTTTGCACTTGGAGTATAGATCATGTTATATTCATTGGTTATTTTATTAAAAACTAATGATAGAATCGGTACCCATTTAGCAGCGTACATAAAAATGTATTTTATAATGTAAAATTGTGCACACTATTATAATATAATATTATCATACAAAATCATCGTAATATCAATAACTTATTGCATCGATTTTTATTTTTTTTCATTTGGATTGAAACAACGTTATCGACCCTACAGGCCTTCCAAATTAATAAAATATTATATAATATAATATACAGGTACCTACTACACGCAGCGTTAGGGTTTTTGTGAGGTATAGGATTTTTCAAAAGTATAATAATACATATGATATGATATTATATAACATGATATTATTATAGTTCTCGAGTTATAAATATATGTCACCCTCACTTTTAGCATATTGTTATTCCGTGTATTAACGACTTACTGTCATTTCCATTTTGAAGTCCATTTTAAAGAATGGCTTATGTAAGTAGGAGCGCAATTTTTTCAAATTTGTTGCTAATATAAAACTGAATGATTTTGAAGACACATATTTCTTAGAACTTACATTCTTTGTTCGCTGCTACATTCAAATTGTATAAACTATACTTATATTTTGACATCTATATGTTTTTATTTTCTTACCTTTCTCAAAAATTCGATTTTTAAAAATCAACATGATGATTTCATAATTAACTATAGATACCGATTCACACCAGAGCATTAATATTCAGATTAAAAAATAAAAAATAATATATAGGAACTGAGTTGTGGTTTAATGCGTGATAAAGTACATATGCTGCAGTGATATATATAAACATATTTTTCCCTCAATCCCTTGATGTAACTATTAATTATTGAAAACAAATTATCAAGCTAAATTTTTGTATATTCATTATAATTATTGTACTATTATTATGGTTGTACTATTGTTTACAGATAACGGAAGATCTACCAAGTGAATAGGTATCATGAGACTAAAAAGTTCCATCGGTGTGACAACATTTCTAGGAGAACTTGAACATAAGAGCTTTACATTGAGCTGTTTGCACCCGTAGCTGGCAGGGTCATACGTAAAATACCCGCTTGACACCGTCCGCCGAACAAGAAAAGTTTGAGAAACCGGAAACGCGAATGAAGTCGTTATATTTGGGTAAGCTGTCGGCCGGGAGGTGCATAGCTCAATAGCTGTTATTGGTAAGGGAAGCTGTGCATCATCAAAATAAAGACAGGGACTCCTATCCACATAAACAGGGCCGCTTTGGTCTATTTAACGGTTACGCTACTGTGTATTGTAGGTAGGTTAGGATTTTTTTATCTACATGGTCAATATTTATCTAACCAACAAAAAGCTTCGTGAAAAGCATATTTCTACATTTTATTAATAATTATATATTTTTTTTTACCCGCAAATACCGAGTTAGAGTGTTAGTAAAATACATTTTTTATCAGTAAGAATAATATAATATGTAGTGTAAATTAGTACTAGTCGTAAGCAGTACCTATAAGTTATAACACCATTACACCAATGTAATAACACGTGTTAGGTATTAATATAGGCATTTGATCGTTATTGATTACGCTGACAATATATAAAATTATTAGTAAAAAAAGGTGTGTAAGTATACATATTACATTGTATGCGTACACTGACCTCATGTATGCCTTAAATATTTATACCTACTTTATTTTGTTTTATTAAAGAATACTATTATATCTACTACATTTTACCAAGCGAATTTCTAACGTTATTGACAAATGTAACTAATGTAAGTGTGTGACCATCTTATTCGTAATTTAAAAGAAAAATAATAATTTTAGTTATTTTGTTGTAAATTATTTTAAAATACTGTTCATAATGTAACTAAAAAAACTAAAAAATATAGAATATATAGTGTTAAATAGTAGCTCTGCTATTAATCATTTGTGCGTCGTATTATGTATTATTTAAAATTTTATAATTTTAAATCTATACCTTTTAATTCTTTTTAGAATTTATATGATTTATATATGTATTTAATATTATACATCCATTTCTTGATAGTTATAATTTATATTACTTTACTGATAACTATTATGAGAAACATTTTTTAAATTTATTGAGTATTATGATGGTATCGTTAGAATTTTTAATGAAATCATGTCCACAATATTTATTAATTAATTTTTATTTTTCCATGATCATACTTTTACATAATTTGTATAAGTAATATAATATTATTATATTACTTAGGAAAAAAATTGTTTATGTTAAAATTAGCCGTTATGTTTAAAAAATGTGTCTTTTAAACTGATGAATAAATTAAATACATTTTATTTTTAAAAGCTGTAAATACGTTTGGATTTAGAATCGAAATTTAATATTAAAACATTTCTAGAGGTACATTATTGTTGGTTATATTATTATTTTAATGGATATACATATAAGATATATTCTGGTTTAATAAGTCTCCATTCATATTCATTTAAAGCACTATTTTATTAATGTATAATATATTTCTATAGTTACTTTGTAGTATTCTTTTGTTTCTATTAGATACTCTAATTGTTGAACTATTATAGCTGTGGTCTAGAAGCTAATAATAATAAAAGATATATATTCATTAATTATTTCTTGAATAATTGATAACATTATGAAGATTTGTCATTGCCGTTTTTTATAAAATTACAAAACATTACTTGACTTTTTTACCTTGGAATAATACAGTAATTATTAATTGATAAACTATACTGGGAGGCCCTGCATTCTCAATTATCACTAGTTTTTTTGAGCATTTTTTATCAATCTTATATAATGTATAATTTACTAAGAAAATATACCTATAAACTCTAATATACCTATTACACTTGACATTCATCTTGATGTTTTGATTCATATTCGGCATCTGGAAGTTATCACACCTCCACAATCCAACCATACCTAATGAGTGCTACAGATAAAAACATTATAAAAAAACTTGAAAATGTAAGACTAACCAAACCGATAGATATACAATTATGACAAGTGACAACGGTTATGTAAATACGTTTATATTATGGAATACAAAATTACAAACACATAATTATAGATAACTACATTTAAATAAATTAAAAATATGTATTAATGTACTATAAATATTACCAATATTAGCTACCTAATCATGCAGTATTAGAGTACTATATTCAAAGCATTTAAAACAATTCAGAATAGTGAATACATGTACCCGACGCTTGATATTCCGTTGATTTCACAATACTTATCAGTGATCATTATGTCCCACTAGTTGACCTTATCTTCACATGAACGAAAACTAACAAATCTATTTTTTCATTTCATTATCAGTTATTAAATCATATAATATAATAGTTATGTCAACTATGGGTTACTAACAACCTACAAACAAAGGGTTTTCGTTTTTAACACTATTGTCTGAGATCAGAGCACAATTTATTTGGATAAAACAATATTTAGAAAATTATTAAACACGAAATAAGATCTACCATTCAAAAAGTAGTTGAAGTAAATTTAAATATTATCAGTACCTATAACCTATCATAATTCGAGCAATGCCATGAGCATATTTTGTATATTACTGTATGATATATTTTATGACACTATGTTAGCTAGTAGTCTACACTCGAGAATGTGGTTAAACCTCCACGTTTTTTTCAAATAAATAATAAACATAAAAATATTTTTATAAAACATATTATAATATATTATATTAAGTATAATTGGATTTATAAATTCGAACTTTTCCTAATGTTGTTCAAACTTTTAGCAAAATCGAATAGTACCTACTACGTATACGTAGTATATATTCATATAAACCGTTTTCAGAATCTTTATAACTTTAAGTGTACATTGACATAATAATATACGAGTATTTTTGTAAAGTAAATTTATATTGTCCTGTAAAAACTTTACGGGCTAAAGAAAAAAATAATCCATTTGGTTGTTAAACTTATAA